TTTTGTTTCATTCATGGTCATGGCTACTACATTTTGTGTGTAAAAAAATCTTCTACATCTTGTTGATACTTATATTTTGGCATTAAACTAGGTCACGTTTTTCGGACTGTTCATACCGTTTTTACACTAATTGCGCTGCATGTGTACTGATTCATATTAATGTCTGAGAATCATTGTTTATTCATTATTTGTACATGTTGAAATTGGCATTAAACTAGCTTTTATTAATTGCAAGTACTCTATGATCTTATATCTTTTTGTGTGCTTCGAGCCCTTCCAAACTGATTTTATTTGATAAAGTAATAAAAAAAAAAACAAAGAAAAAAACGACGGAATTTACAGCCATAAATTAAAAAAAATAAATTATAAAAGTAAGGAGATGTGGTAAATCGCCAATAAGATAGATATACGCCAGAGGGCGTGGATGTATCAGGCAATTTATTTCACCGTGCGGTCTTCAACGATGATAAACGGCCGTTAAGTTTACTTTTGTCGCATTGTAGTCAAAAGGAAGCAACTTAATTCATACGTATGAAAACTTGTTGTTCTTATTTTATTCTTTTGTCAGCTTTTTGAAGATTGCACCATATTATATTATTATACAGATATAAAATTAATTCATATTTTGCACCGAATTGAAACAGAACATCTATGATCATTTTAGAATAAAAGAGCAAATATATGTTTTATCATAAACTGTAATATTGTGATTGATTTTCATTTGCTTTCGTCCCCTTTTAACAATTTCGTTTTATTCTTATTCGCCTCGTTTTTTTTCTTCGTTTGTTTGCTTCTTTTCGTTTCGTTTCACTTTATTTCGAACTTTAAATATACTCTTATGCAATAGGTCAATTATATAAGTCATATAGAGTATTGCTCCGTGTTGAAGGCCGTACTTTGAACTATAATTGTTTACTTTTTACACATTGTGACTTGCATGGATAGTTGTATCATTGGCACTCATACCACCTCTTCTTATTAATATACAATGCATATTTTAAACCGTTTTCTTGTAGACTTCGAACATGAATTCAATTATGATCAGTACAGCCAGCGGATCATTTCAGAGTGTTCACTTGTTTAAAAATTTGGTGTCGTTAACATTCACCCAACATCCCTTTATATCAACAGTTTTTGTAGTTTTATCCAAATTTGTCGTGGATAGATATTCTATTTACATAAACATATAAGAATGTATTCCAATATATTAATACGCAACACCACGAATGAAGTAATTGATCATGAACTGTCTGTCTGAGATGATCGCTCTATCAGAGGAGCACACATTTCCATTTTTTAAATTTAATTCACGATGAAAAACATGTATAATACTTGACACTTTACTGTTTTGGTTTCTTTATTCTAAATCCGTCAATGGAGATGAACTGTTTATTGGGACAGAATAGCAGGAACTTAAACATTTAAGGATAAAAGTATGCAATACGCACAGACTGACTGAAATTGCATGACAAAGCTAAGACTTCAATTATCTTAACCCTTGGTACGTTTATTTATTCAATTTACATCTCTAAAACCTGTGTCTAACTGTTTCTTGTATCTCTTAAACTTAAGATTATCATAACATGTATAAGACATGTCACATATTTCCTCTGCTTACGTTTATTTATTCAATTTACATCTCCAAAACCTGTGTCTAACTGTTTCTTTTATCTCTTAAAGTTAAGATGGTTATAACATGTATAAGACATGTCACATATTCCTCCGCTATTCGCAAAGATTTACCACTGACTTGATCCAGATGGTAATTTGCCCGTAAATCGTAAACTGTAAATATTTGTGAAACATTGAAAGTGTCGCATATCTTTAACATAGTCACGATAGTCTTACGACTTATTTCACGATTTACCACTTTTTGTGAAACGACTAAATGAAACACTAACTATAGTGATCTTCTTCGGTAAGTAAATATTACTTTCAATGAATGAGATGATATTCAAATACTTACGTTACTTGCATACTGTTGGTCTTTGCATATTCAGGACATACACACGAGCTGCGTATGCTCACTAAAAAGATCTTACGTGAATTATACTGAAATGTGCATGACGTTCGAGTTTTTGTTTTATTCTAAAGATTTTTTTATGAAAAGTCACTCGCACTTTTGCAAATATAATAATCGTCAAAGTGCAAACATAAAATAGCTGCGAATTTATACATCCACAGCTAAACGGATGCTCCATTAACCTGCATCTGTTTTACCGAACGACGAGGGAAATAGCAAACCATAATTGTACATGACAGTTAAGTTTTGTTGTTATTGAAAAAGACAAAAATGTTAATATTAGCACTGCATTATTTTAAGGTATCAATTCACATGATTAAATACATATTATGAAGTATATGTAACTTACGTGCCGAAATCACTGTTAAAAAAGAAATAGGTTATAATTTAAGTAATGTATAACAAGAATGCTTCATCAATTTTAAATGTCTGTAATTAAAAATAAACTAACAACGCATAAAGAGTTATCCCTTGTATAATGATATTGAATTAACAAGCATGAACATTTTCGATCTCAAGGATTCTAATAAATTTTTGTATGTATCCTGAAAATAACTAAAAAAGTAAAAAACAAAAATGTCGAAGTACAAGGAAAATTCAGAACGGAAAGTCCCTTATCAAATGGCAAAATCAAAACCTTAAACCTACTGTGATAGTCCTGGCTTGGTACAGGCATTTCTTTATGTAGAAAATGGTGGATTAAACCTTGTTTTGTAGCTAGCTTAACCTCTCACTTGTATGACAGGTGCATAAAGGCATATTAATATAAGATATTTGAATACATAGTATTATTGAAATACTTTTGAAGACAGCAAATTTTATAAACATGATAAATATGTATCTCGAAATCCTACCCTGCAAAAGTTATATGTTCTAGATACTGAAATATCCGTTTTATTGATATGAAATAGGAAGGGGTATCCGGCTTCGTTTTGCAAGTATAAAAAGTTAAAAAAAAAAAGCGACGAAAGGCAAACGTAACGTGACGTCATGACTGCAGTATTTATCGAAATGTTATTTCCCCACGTTTTAAAATGTAACATAATCAGTTCAATGACTTACATAGTATTAAACACGGAAATTTTAGTTGCAATACATATTGTTGCATTTCAGGTTTAAAGAAAATTCGTATGACAGGTATTGAAGAGAAAGAAATTACAAATAAACATGTGTTTGCAACAATAACGTTCATCAAATTAAACCTTTATTTTTTTCTACAGAATATTCAGTATGCCATATCTCAAACAGTATAAAAGTAACCCAACAGGTTGCTTTTATTCTTCAGGATAGCATATTGAAGTAACCTTTTCAATAGTCATGTGTATTCTAGGATCTGGCAAAATTTCACAAAAATCTATGAGATCGCCCATGTTCGTAACTGTTAGCTTAATGTTGAGGTACTGATGACTGCTGTTTCTCAATGGTGTTGGACATAGCGATATCAATATCTTAAAACAACTATCGGAAATTATTTGTCTATACGTTTTAATGCGTTTTAATAATCTGTGGAATTTGTTTGTTTTCTAAAAAATTTTCGACACATACAAACTTATGGAGTTAAAATGAACAAGACAGGTTTCTAGTATGATTTGTCAAATAAATGGTTAAATGTTTTATTTTTTTCATTTTGATATTTTTTTAAATAAATGATTACTCGTATAGAGGACAACAATTTGATTTCGCGGCGAAGAGGAAGGGAGCGGCAGGATGATTTACGTAATCAAATAAGAACTAAAAATGAACAATCGTGCCACAATCAGATTAATTATAACCTTGAAGTAGTATTTGTTTGAAGGTTGAAATATATTAAATTGTAATATTGTGTATATAGGCAGGATATAGAAATAATTTATTAAACAAACAATGCAAGGTTCATGACGTAGCAAATATAATCATAATTTGTAAAAATGTATTTTTGAAAAACAGTAAGCCAGGGAGCTCTTGTCAGTTTGTCTTGAGACCCCTTTCTGTTGAAAATACTAATTTGAAATTTTTTCTCAAGATAACATTGTTTGTCTGTTTGATTTCCTCCTGATATTTTGACTTACTTTGTCTTGCAAGCTCGTCTGAAAAAAAATAAGTTTCTTTATTCTTATTTTACTGGCAGACAGGACAATTAATTAATATTATAAATAAATGATTAATCCATTCCTAATGTTTCGCAAATAGACCTCCACTAAAATATAAACTGAACGAAATTATAAAGTTTGTATAGATGAACATTTCTCCGAACATATTTTCAAAGAACTTTCATAATACATCAACAATTATTTTAAGTATTTCGGGATTATGATTATCTCGATAAACCTGGAAAAGAACAGTTGCTTAATATCGAAGGTCAATTTAACGAGGAAAGAGAGACAATACATTGCCAAAAAGAAAGAAAGAAAAGATTGGATGAAAAACAGAAGTGCATTAAAAAACAAGACATGTGTCTAGTATAATTTGTCAAATAAATGGTTAAATATTTTATTTTTTTCATTATGATATAAATAATTACTCGTATTGTGAAATGCTAATGTTTGTTTTAATGCATGAATGACAATTAAGATATCGTTATTATTTCATAATCATATACAAGTTGATATTAGAGGACAACAATTTGATTTCGCAGCGAAGAGGAAGGGAGCGGCAGGATGATTTACGTAATCAAATTGGAACTAAAAATGAACAATGGTGCCACAATCAGATTAATTATAACTTTTTAGTAGTATTTGTTTGAAGGTTGAAATATATTAAATTGTCATATTGTGTATATAGTCAGGATATAGAAATAATTTATTAAACAAACAATGCAAGGTTCATGACGTAGCAAATAGAATAATAATATGTAAAAACGTATTTTTGAAAAACAGTAAGCAGGGGAGCTCTTGTCAGTTTGTCTTGAGACCCCTTTCTGTTGAAAAAACTAATTTGAAATATTTTTTCAAGATAACATTGTTTGTCTGTTTGATTTCCTCCTGATATTTTTACTTACTTTGTCTTGCACGCCCGTCTGAAAAAAAAATATGTTTCTTTATTTTTATTTTACTGGCAGACAGGACAATTGATTATTATAATATAAAATGATTAATCCATTTCTAATGTTTCGAAAATAGACCTGCACTAAAATATAAACTGAACGAAGTTATAAAGTTTGTATAGATGAACATTCTCTCCGAACATATTGTTTAAGAACTTTCATAATACATCAACAATCATTTTAGTACTTCGGGATTATCATTATCTCGATAAACCTGGAAAAGAACAGTTGCTAAATATCGAAGGTCAATTTAACCAGGATAGAAAGACAACACATTGCCAAAAGAAAGAAAAGCTTGGATGAAAAACAAAAGTGCATTTTTTATCAATTCTAAATACCAGAGAAACTTCGAAGACTCGGCAGGGAATGACGCTAAATTTTAAACACAAGATATATTTACTAGGAATTTTGGACATTCTGATAATAATGATGTCAACTTAATTATATTCAATTAGAGATGTACCACTTTCTTAAACGTTATAATATGGATGTACTGAGAATGTACTTGCGACTTTATATCATCAGATTACACAATAATGATACAAATTTCGGGTAGATGGTTCAATGAATTATCTGCATCATGTGCAACTGAGAGCAAATGTTTAAAACAACAAAGACAATAGAATTCCTTAAAGAATAATTCTAAAACAGAACATATACAATGTACAGCAATACTTTTCTGTTTTTCTTGATTGTGACATCACCGAAAACGACTCATCAGCGACTTTTGTCTACCCACGAGTAACATAACGAGTGCAACTAATAGAGAAAGATCCCATCAACATTCTTAGTCTTTAGTTTTCTGTGTTGTGTCATCTGTACTAGTATTTGTCTGTTTGTCTTTTTATTTTTGGCCATGACGTTGTCAGTTTGTTTTCGATCTATGACTTTGACTGTCCCTCTTGTGTCTTTCGTCCCTCTCTTAGGTACATAAGATTATCTCAGTTTGTAGTTAGGTTCGTGTTGCTCAGTCTTTACTTTTGTATGTAATGTTAAGTGAATTTAGGGGTCTTTTCGTCGCGTTTGGTTTTTACGGCGTTGTCAGTTTCTTTAGACTTATGAGTTTAAATTTTCCCCTTGGTATCTTCCGCATTGTGTTCTTTTATGGGAACATACAATTCACATAGATAAAATGTTATTCATGGGATCATAATTTTTCATAACAATTAAATGTTTACCATGTTTACTATATAAGATATCATATTATTATTATACGCCTGAAATAAGCACAAAATACGAAATATGCGATGATTCCTAGCACTGAAACGGTTTATAATGGGTGCCATAGACTAGATATTCCTTAGAAAAACGATGCTTTGTTCAATATATCGTGGGATAGTTTCAATAAATTATGTTTATTTAGCCATCAATATTTGTATTAAATGGAATACCATGAATTTTTTTGTAAAAACAGTTTGAGTAAGATTGCTTTTTGATGATTTTTTCCTAATTCTGTAATGCAACAAAAAACGGTTTAAGGTTAAACTTACAATTTTGACATCTTCCTATGAAATAAAAAATGAGAGCAATAAAACTATGGTATATTTAATATTTTCCAGTTAATTAGACAAATTGTAATTTGAGAACGACAGCTATTTCTGTTAATTATAATTAAAGTATTGTAAACCGTACAACGTACAGGGAATAACAAGTAAATTATACAAAAAGTACCAAAACTTTTGGAAAAAGTTGATAATAAACAACAGAACAGTATTAACGTAAAATGCAGTAAATACCTTTTTTCATATTCACAACGTCCGAATTATAATCTTTTTCTAAATCAAAACCAGCAGTGTTGCGTAGTTTTCAATGGACATTTTCTACAGCCCTTTTCTTATTTTTCCCAAATCATGGGGACTCAAAATAAGACATGTTGACATGGTTGAGCCTTAAATCTGTTTTTGTGTAAGATAATTTGATTTGACTGTGTATGAAAACAGAAAAAAACGTTCTTATATAGATTTATTGAATAAAGTATATTTACCGCGAATAACAGCGGGTGTAAAACGTCCGGTACAAACGTCACAAACGGATGGCTCTGTAAAAAATGTCTCTGAAAGCAATATATACAAAAGTTTAAAAATTGGTTTAAATCTATTTGTATAGATCTTTTCAAATAATTAAAATAACAAAATGAAATTGAAACAAAGGCATAATTTTGTTTGAGTTTTTTATCGTTAAGTTGTGATTTTAAAACTATTTCATGACTTTGACATTGACACGGTCTCAAGTTTCTGAAATATTTTCATTATTTTAGCAATGGTGCTGATGGACTGCTACTCTGCGAGGGTATAGCCATCTTAGTTAAAAGTGATTCGGTACTGACATGATTCATAACAAACATTTCTTTTTTATCATTCTTTTACTAATCATTAAAATTCATCCAAACTTTGTTGTGGTTACCTCAGTAGCTCTGGAGAACATACTTATGATCCCTGCGTTACAATCTCACTCGTGCCCAGGGAACACAGGTGATATATAATGTCCACTTTATTATTACAAACAATATTTTTTTTATCTTTAAACTAATTATATAATTTTGAATTAAGAAAATAGTAAAAAACACTCAATACATTTATTCATCATGTTCATATATCCTTGGCTTTCAAATATTCGGCTTTGGGCGTTCCTGATGAAGGTAAATCCAGAAAAGCGCTTCAGACTGATGAATTATTTAGTTCGTTTTTATTTCATTACACCACCTGCTTACAAAGCTACACATTCTACAAAAAGGTAAATTGTAAATAAGTACAAGTGCATTCCGATATTTTGTAAAAACTGTTTAAGAAAAGTTTTATATATCATAAGCCGTGCAGGCAGTACTTCAATACTGGCATGAAAATGGCTATTGTTTTATTCATATTGAAACAGTTATGAAATATTTATATTCTACTTGCATAGCTTTGCTTCGTAGTCTGAATTTGAATTAATTGATTCTGTTTTGTTTGTATCAGTTCCTTAAATGTTTGTATTAGGTTCGGGATTTTCAAAAAGTTTTGGCCTTTAAGATCACTTATGAGACATTAGTTGACAAAATAAGCCCCGGTATATTAGAATTGGTATCGTTAATGATATTGAAAAGATCATCACCAAAGTCTTTATAATTGAATGTATAGATATGTTAACTAAAACATACTCGTGACCTAGTAATTCCATATCTAATCGATAGCAATTCTTTCTAAATTACTTCGATGAAAAATACATAAAGATATTGTTAAACTTAAGTCCCATCTCTTTTGTCCGATGATAAATACATAAAGATATTGTTAAACTTAAGTGCCATTTCTTTCAGGCACGGCTGCCCTTAGAATCAAGTATTATTTTCATTATTGTGTAAGTTATACCAGCAACACATGCCGTTTACACTTAAAAGTTCGCCGCATAGATTGTTTTTACAAAGTGTTATTGTTAGCATGTTATCTGTTTAGGAAATTGCCTGACCCGCCTGAGTGATTGTCGTGATAAAGTAAGAAGATGTCCAATTTGTTAATTAGATAAAAGGTCAGGCTATCTGGTAATTGTGTCTATCGTTGGAGATTGTTTTTCATGAGTCAGGTTTTTGTGGTTGACATGTACTGTTGTACTGTCCAGCATTTACTAGTAATTGATTACAAATTCAATTTTAAATGCTATAAGTCGCAGAAAGACGTACAAAGTATTTGGAAAAATGAAAATCTTCATGAAGACAAATTTTTGGAAACAAGGCAGACATTTGGTTAACTAAAATATCTAGCAACCAAAGTTCACAAAAGCACACAGCACAAAATTTTCTACAAAAGACTACAAACTGAGCACCATGAATCTCATTCATTACCGAGTGTGAAGTTTCAAGACTGTTTAGGGTTCGTGGCACTATCATGATAATTTGGTAAATTAATCCGATCGGATTTCCAACTTGCTAAATAATGTGGCTTCTTACTAAAGAAGAGTGACTGAATACCGTACAGCATATAAATTTAGCATTTGCTTTTTGGGGTTCATATTATTGATTTAATTATTTTAATTTTGATATTACGTGAGTATTTTCGGATTATTTCATGTCTTTACTAGTTATTTTTTTTTTTGCTTTTATTAATGGATATTTTTGATTGTACGTTTTATCTTCAACCTTTCCGTAGAAAACGTCGCTACACTACTTACTAAACACAAACAAGGAAGTGTGCTGAACAATACAAATGCCTGCAAGGTATACCTTTAAAAAAACATTTAATTATTCCTTATGTCATTTATGTCTGTTTTAAACATAAGCATACGATATATTGATACATAAAAAGGCAGTTATCTTTGTATCGAAAATAAGGCTTCAATGATGTATCAATAGTAAAAAACTTTACACACTTTTGTCTGCTTGATCCCAAAAATTTTCACCTTAATATATTATGCCTTTTTGGGTTACTCACAAGTTTTTTCAATACAACGTAAATATAAACAATTGTCATACAAAGTCAAGGTTCAACTAGCTATAAAACCAGGTTTAACCAGCCATTTTCTTCGGAAAGTAGAGAAAATGGCAGTGGTTTTTTTAACTTGTCCCGTTGATTTTTATTGACTTCCTCTTTTTGAATATTCTTTGGAGTTTGGTATTTTGGTTATACTTTTTTTATCAATGTTCAAATATTGTAAATCGATTATGGCAAACGGATCCTGCTATGCATCATAAAATTACTCACTAGGTTTGGTAGCATAGTCAAAGGATATTCTGGCTTTACTGTTATAAGCAACATATTTTATGCACCTGTATGTATTTCCCCATCTGTAAAAATAAAAGGACAAACAATAACCATTCAATACATAAAAAAATACAGAAATACAGAAAATACAAATTGTTGTGATTTGAGGCAAAGCAAAAAATCCGGATTCCTGCATTGCAAATAATGATGAGTCTTTTTTTAGTTTGACTGGACTAGAAAATGACGACTGAAACTGTCTAGTATTAAGTTAGAAATATGAGCCGTGAAGTACGTTCAGTATTGATTTGATTGCCTTTCTTGATTTGTTTGTCAATTTCTGAATCTTGGGTTTTCTTTGAACATCCATTAATGCGCCTTATATCTTCAATGCGTTTTTCGTCGTAGAATTTATCATATCATTTGATATCAATTTACTTTATTCCTTAATTATTAATCGACTACTCTCAATCATTGAGAAGGTTAAGGTTTGAAATAAAATTAAAGCAGTTATATTATAGAAATAAAAAACAAACGGTTATGGACACCTTATTAATTACCTGTCTTTTTCAATAGTATAAAGAATCATCTTAACAAACCGAAAACCAGTCGCCGCGTTTTTTTTAAAGTTGGTTCAAAACTCATGTTTGTTGTTTTTCTTCACAAACATGTCCGAAATGTCTACTTATGATTGCTAAATCATGTAGCAGAGATCATAGGTCTTTTCATAACCTGTAAGTTTCTATTATATGAGACTTCAAAACTGTTGACATTAAACACACTTTTCTTACTTTTTCTACCTTAAGGCCACTCTTGTCATGCAGGAAATTAATTCTCGAAGGATTATCACCCTTTTTACATATCTCAGATGATTTTAAATTTTAAAAGTAAACGAAAACTGATGTCGTAAATGCAAACGTCTCATAAAGGATCTAAATTGGAATTAAAATCTATTGTCTGCACACTGCAAAAAAGAATAAAAACAAATCGTTTGATGCTAGTTTTGTGCTTATTATTGCAATTAAAACTCGACAAACTCATTAGATTCCCATTTCAGTATATCTGTTAAGAAAATTCTACTTTATGTTTATCAGGGGAAATCATATCAAAATATTTTGAATGGGAAAAACGACATTACTAAACAGTAATGTAAATGTACTTAATCATATGCACTCAAAAAGATCTATTTACACTATCGTCCCAGTAGTCAAACTAGTTTAACCCCGCCACATTCTGTATGTATCTATTCCAAATCAACAACTTGTAATTCAGTGGTTGTCTTATGTTGCTGCTTTGCAATTTTATTTTTCGTTCATTATTTTGTACATAAATTAGGCCGTTAGATTTCTCGTTTGAAGTGTTTACATTTGTCATTTCGGGGCCTTTTATAGCTGACTATACGGTATGGTCTTTGCTCATTGTTGAATACCGTACGATAACCTATAGTTGTTAATTTCTGTGTCATTTGGTCTCTTGTGGAGAGTTGTCTCATTGGCTATTATACAACATCTTCTTTTTATATGAAAGATCTGAAAGAATCAAAGTCTTCAATCCTTTCAAAATTACTGTGGATTAATTACTATTCGTGTGAAGCCAATTTTCAAAGATGTTGTATGTAAAGATAAACCGCAATTTTAAATAAATAAAAAAATGCAAATTTTCTATAGGCTTCTAGGCAGACTTTGGCAAAAACCACGAAAATAGATATTCTCCAAAAAATGTATGTTTTACTAAATCCACGAAACTAAGTGCCTACGAAAATAAAAGAATCAACAGTTGGTATTATGATCTAAACACTTTAGATTAGAAATGTTAGTTGCAACGTAACTTTGACGTACTGAACCCTATTTTTACATATTATTAAAAAGAACATTTGAATCTTATAATTTGATTGGTTTATCTATGAGTCAAAGTCTGTTCCGGGAAAATATCTCAAACATATAAAGACTTCTTTTCGATAAAGACATAGATCATGTCTAAAAAACAATAGCATTGTGTTCAAATGAGAATATCTTAGCAGATTTTTGAAATTTGCAAACATTTCTAAAAAGTTGAAACCCTAAATGAATCATTTAAGATAAATCATGAACATATAGAGGCTGATTTATTACAAATAAAATCATCATAGTACCAGGCTTACAAATTTGTACGCAAGATCTAGACGCGCGTATGTCTTCGAAACATCTGAAGTTTGTTATTTAGTAGATGTAAGCAGTGGCTTGATTATACATATTATTATGAAAAGATCTTGATCTGCTAATCGTATTTGCAAAAATTGAATATCGTACTTTACTACAAGAAATGGTCCACGTCTTGCGTAACATAACCTTTCTTCCCCACCATTCACTGTTACAATTGACGTATTTGAACACGAAAAAGC